TGCCAAGAAAATGGAATGGGGATTGATTCAAAGAATTTTTAAATAGCAGCCATTCATCACAACAGGACCTTTTGAAAACAAACTTTATAATTCTCTCTCTTTGCAACGGGAATACCACATCACGTCCCATCTGGAGATAACTACTACAAACAAGTAGGCTTAGACATGCCAAGCTTAATTAAATCGTTTACTATGGTTTATTTGCAGAGAAAAGTATTTTTCTGACTAGATTTTTTTTGGGGGGGGTAGAAGTAGAAGCAAGCCTGTGCTCAAGTTAATGAATTTTCCCTCTTCTTGTTGTTCTGAATATGGGATGGGAAGCTGTAAGCATATTTAGAAGTCATATGTTCTAACCATGGAGTAGTAGCTCAGGTCCATCTCATTATTGTTGGGTATTACAAGCTGAAAACACTCAGTATATCGGGGTTACATGTTTGTTTATGTTACTCACAGGAAGTCACATGTTTCTCATGTAACCAATGTTCTTTAGATGTAGGAAGCCCGGGAATTTTCTCCCTGATCTAGGGATTTGATTGGGACTAAAGTGTCAAGGTGTATTACCATTTTATGGCTTCTCTTCCCGTCTTTGTTTTGATGTTCTGAAGAAGAAGGAGAGCAGCCATTCTCTCTTCTAGTTTTGTCTTTGTAGAGTAAGGATGTAGCCGATTAAGCTCTGTTGTTATTTTCATCCCAGTTACCCTTCCCATGCTAGAATTTAGTAAAAACTTTATATTTTAATCACACATGGACTCTCAGTCTGAATTATTTTACTCTGACTCTGCTGGACTACCTTATCTCTGCTAAATACCATTTTTCAATATCTCACTATCACCCAACAATTATTAGAGTAACAGAAATGATGGGATCTGGCAGAAAAGCCTATCCCATGTGTTTCTTAAAGAATTCCAGGATCTTTGTTCTGATTTCTGGTGATTAAAAAAGGAACACTTCCAACATGATGAGATTACTGCACAGAAACAGCATGTGGATTGACAAATTATTGTGCCACAGAGATAGCATAAATCAAGACATTTCCTACAGAACAGGGCTTTCCACGTAGGAAATGTTATCACGTCTTGCAAAAGCCCCAACTACTTCTTCTAAATACCAAAGCTTTGTAGCCAGCTATCATGCGTGTTACATTTATTATTTGTGGCAGAAATTGCCAGCATACACTGCCCTGTTCTTGCTAATCTCACACACTGTCGTGAAATCACACAGAGGGAGTAAGCTGTTGTTGAGATAACTGGCTTCCATTAGTAAGCATGTGATTGGCAGGACGATAAAGTCTTTTGGCTCACAGGTCAGCTACTTTTTAAAAAGAGGGCAATCCTGCTGATCCATCTTTTAGCTACAGTCTCTCACTGAGTCCCAATTCTCTTGCCATTTAGCTTTGATATGGTTCAAGCTTTTCCCCTTGTATCAGCCTCTACCTGTCATCAGCTTCTCTGTACCGAACAGCAAATATCAGGAGTTTGACCTCGGGGCACAGTCCGGGTGGGCAGGTAAGACCTGACCACTGGACCTACTTCCTTATCTTTCATATCCTGCAATTCATGAAACAGTATCAAATTCAAACTAAAAAACAGAAGCATGACCTCTTATGAGAACTTTCTGAAAAAGACACTGTTGCCTTTCTAAGTAGGCTTGAAAAGAACTGTCATCTGCCCTATTAGGAAAGAAATGGATCATAAATAAAGAAGAGAGGAGAAAAGAGTGTTAAATCCTTACTAAAAGCTAAATGTCGCTCTTTATAAAGGTTTCATATCACCATGATGAGCTTCTGGTAAGACAAGAAAAAGGGGGCAGATATTTACTTTCGGCCACTGAAAGCTCAATAAAATAAATTGAGTCGCATGGGATTAGCTATTATTAAGAATCTGGTATGCACTACCTTTTAACTACTTTTTGACTCTCACCAGCAGACAAGTAAAACACTGGAAATATTATATCATATTTAGTACAGACACACAATCCTCTTCAGTATGTTAACTGAGAATCATCACTGCAATCTACCTCACAAAGCAGTTCAGAGAATGAGCTGAGAAAAGGTTTCAAAATCATTAACAGAGCATCTATGTAAGTGGAATAATAATAAACAAATGTTGTAATAGGAAAGGATTCAAAAGGTGAATCCCAAGTCAGGGACATTAAGATTTCTCCTGTGCTCTTGCCCCCACCTACCTAAGGGGTCTAGTATAAACAATCTCAAGTAACATTTGTGTCTAAAAAAAATGTTTAGGAAAGGTTATATTCTGGAGAATAAAGGTTGTTTTTAATGCTGGAGTAAGTTAACTTTAACCTAAAAAGGATTTTTCTTTAAATCACATCAAATGGTCACTTTTGAACTATTTCTTACCAGTTATCTTATCCACACATTCATTCACACCTATCACCATACATTTCTAGTGAACCATATTACGAAAATATTAAATCATCTTCTAGTTACTATTTATGCATATATAATAATAGCATACTTATTCAATTTTACAGCTGTATAAATACATTATATGCATGCATTAATCACTAAGCAGCTATGCAACACAACCTTTTGCTCACAGAAACACTAGACTTTAAGTGATGGGATATTTGCTTTCTATGAAGTTCTCCAAAAACAACGGTGCCTAGGAAAGACT